CCGTCGTTACCTGCTCGCTTGCGGGGGTGTCCCGGGGCGGCCGGCCTCTCTCCGCGCTGTCTCCCCACGCAGTTGCCCATGCTGGATCCTCAGCCAGGCCCCATGCACCGGCGGCGGCGGGCTGGTCAACTGCTCCGCACTCCTGTCCCGGACAGCGGCGCCCGGGGTCAACGGCTCCTGCCGTCCGTCATCGGGCGCTCCCCGACCTCCCCCCTGGGGTTCGCTCTGCCCCGGCGCCGGCTTCGCCACAAACTTTGCGGATGAGGGGAGAGAGGGAGGTGGCCGACTCCCCAGCACAGTCCCAGGTGGCCGGGCCAGGGGGGCCCGCGACGGTGCCCGGCCGGAGAACAGCTCCGCTGGAGGGGCGGAGAGGGGGCGGGCACCGCCGCAGCTACACCCGGCTCACTCCGGACTCCCGGCTGGGCCGGCCCCCGAGCTTGTCACTCACCTGCCTAACCCCGCCCCCGCCCGGCCCGCTCCCAGCCTCGGGCTCGCGGTGCGGGCGCTGGGCCGCCGGCCGCAGGTGTGCACGTGACCCACGGCACCGCCCCCTCGTGCCGGGCCTGATTTTTTCATTGGCTTCCCCCAGGGTGCGCACCGCCCCTCGGCCCCACCCAGTCAGGTACCCGCCCCGCCGCCGGTCTCCGGGGTAGCCGGGCCAGAAGTTACTGGCCCTCCATGGCCTCCGGCTGCCAGCCCAGCAGCCACCTCCCCGACCTGGGCCCCGCCCTCGGGGAGGGGCCGTTCCAGCCTCCCGGGAACTGCCTCGCCAGGACCGGCAAGCACGTGACCCGGGGAACGCCCCGTCCCCTCAGCCTTCGCCAGGCGATTGGCTCAGGAGGCGCGTGCGCCGAGAGGCCCGTCCCGCGCCACAGCCCACTTCCCCTCCCACGATCTCTAGTTCGCGTCATGGCGGCCGCCGCCGATCTGGAGGCGGTGGCGCCCACGGGTGCCCTGTGGGGCCTCGTGCACGACTTCGTCATGGGTCAGCAGGAGGGCCCCGCTGACCAAGTGGCTGCAGGTACGGCAGACGTCGCCTCGCGGCTTCCGCAAGGGGCCGACCGCAGGGAGCGGCACTGGCGCCGGGCGGGAAGGGAGTGAGGGACAGCGGTGACTTTGAGAGATCGGTCTGGGACTGGTTGTGAGCATCGCGGACTCAAGAGCCATAACAGGCTGAGAGTCCCTTGCACCTTCCTTAAAGCGTCTTTACGCCCCTCATCTTCGTTGAGTTACCCTGTGCGCCGGCCCGACGTAGGAGAGTCAGACGAGGAAACAGGCCCAGCGAGGGCAAGAGATTCGCAGATCAGGCAGGTGGGACACCGGGGCCCAGACCCAGAGGCTCCAGTTTAGCATCCGGTGCTCACGCTGCGAAAGCACGTTGTGTCTGGGAGGTTGACGTGAGAAGTGTATTCGCGGCTTCGGCCCCGGGCGCGCGGCATGCTGGGAGTGGCCCGGCGGCCGGGGCTCGGGCTGGCTGTAACTGGAGGGAGAGAAGGGAAGCCAGCCTGGGGGAGTCTGTGATGTTCTGCGTATCCTCCTCCAGACTTTCCCTCTGTTTCTTCGTAAAGTTCTTGGTTAATTTTGTTTCATGACTTTTTTATGTGGTGGTGGTTTTTATCCTTCCCCCAGATCTCCAGTTTCCTGCTTTTGACCAGTTCAGGAATCACTTAATTCTGACAGCTTACCTAAGATTTGAATAAAACAAATTCCAGATTTCCTTGGAATTCTGAGACTTCACTCTTTTAGAAAAAAATCTTAAAAGTTATTGAATATTAGGAGGCCTCTAGACCTCGTGTTAAGTAACAGACTACAAAATAATCTCACAAATACAGAGGAGTTTTGCCTATTTTTGGAAATTTTTCGTGCTTGGGGAAAAGTTAAGGACGTATCCCTTGAAAATTGAACATATTAACTTTTAGAATATGTGATCAGTGAATATAGTGAATCTGCAGAAAGTATAATACTTTGGTCCTTAGCAATTCCACTTTTAACTAAATCATTTCATCGTTATTGAACACATGTTATTCTCCAAACAGGTGCAAAGCAATCTATAATAATAAAAGTGTAATATGCTAATTAGACCAGACGTCCTTCCAGACGACCTTTCAGATGAAGCTGGGGCTGCAAGGGAAGCCTGGTCCTGGGTGCCAGAGGGAAGCCGGTGCCAGCAAGCCTACTCATGCACAAGTTTCATGCATTGGACCTCTAGTCCTATATAATAAAAGGCTCATATGCAAATTGACTGAGCTGCAGAATGACTGGTCGCTATGACTTGCACTGACCACCAGGGGGCAGTCACTCAACAAGAGCTGCCCCCTGGTGGTCAGTGTGCTCCCACAGGGGGAGCATTGCTTAGCCAGAAGCCCTGAGCCGGACTCACGGCTGGTGAGCCCAGCGGCAGTGGTGGGAGCCTCTCCCGCCTCTGCAGCAGCACTGAGGATGGGGAGCGGGCCTAAGTTGTCAGTTGGACATCCCCCGAGGGCTCCCGGACTGCAAGAAACCTGGGACACTCCTACCCCAGTGCACGAATTTTGTGCACCAGGCCTCTAGTAGGAATATAAATACAAATTAGACTACATATGTGCTGATCACTACACCATGAAAAAAATTGTAAGAAGTCTGTGCAAGGTGGCATGGGAGCATCAAGGAGCAAATGCCTGATGCTGCCATTCCACTAAGTTTAACCACTTACAGCTTTATGAAACAGGGTGTTATCGGTGCTTACAATGAACAAGTACAGTGCATTATCAATGTCACTTTCCCCAGTGTTTTATGAAAATTTTCAAACTTACAGCAAAGTCTAAAGAATTTCATAAGAAACATATTCCCACCATCTAGATTCTACCATTAACATTTTAATATAACTTGCTGCATCACATACCTATCGACCCATTTAAATTGTGGATATCAGTATACTTTCCCCAAATACTTTGGTAGGCATATTATTAACTAGAGTTTGTTTACAGTTTATTTTGGTGTAAAATTTATGTTCAATGAAATATACAAATTTTAAATGTATGTTTACTGATTTTGAAAAATGCATACACCTACCACCAACCAAGATAAAGAACACTGCTATATCAGTGTTAGTTGTAACTATTCTTTCACATTTATATGTTATGAGCATAATAATTTTGAATTTTTCAAATTCAAAACATAAGACATGATGAAGGAATGCCAAGTTCTTATAAATATCTTTGTAAAATTTATATACTTTTCTGCCTGAAATAAATAGCCTAAACTATTGTCTAGTTACATTTAACTCAGCTCAGCTAAGACTAACACTGGCCCTGTTGTAATTTAACCCTTCTAAGAAAGGAAGTTAAATTTTGTGCACCAGGTAGTAACAGATAAGTAAAATGTTATTAATATAAGGTTTAAAAGGTTTGGTGGGGTTGGATTATGCATAACTTTGGATTCCAGGCAGAGGGGTGTGAGGTAATAGCAGTCATTGTAGGTCCTTGAGCAAGGAAGTCACATAATGAAAGCGAATTTGAAAAGGATTAAATTGATATTCTCAATCTTAGACCACAGCCCGAGTCAGGGTTGTTGAAGGCTGACAGAGTTTTGAAGTGTCCCTAGAATCAGATGTACTTTCTAATCCTCCATCCTAAATCAAGCTTTGTTAGTGCTAAAGAGATCAGCATCCATTCAGCCACTCACAGCCGCAGCTTCTCCTACAAGTTGTAAATGCAGAAGGAACATGCCGTGATCAAAAAGGCAGTTTCCACCAACTTTGTTTTTTACCTGGGTTCCTGATGAAAGTAGGTGTCAGATGTAAAGGTGTAAGTATGGAAGAGAAATGATCTGGCATTCTAAGGGTGAAAGGCTCTCAGCCAGGCATTCAAAGGCTGCCACTGCCTGGCCCCAGCCTTTACTCTCACCACTTTTCTCCTGGACCTTTAGTTCCAGACAGCCACCTTGATTTGCTGTTCCCTGAGTGCATTCCTTTCCAGTTCCCTCTACTAGCTCTATCTAATCAAAGTTAGACTTAGGATCCACGGCCAGATTTGAGTGCTCACTGCCTGTCCTCCAAGTGTTTCCTGATTACTCCAGCCAGACATCATCTCACACGTCATAATCTTTACGGTACTTATTTTTCAACCACTCATATACTTATTAGCAGACTTGCTTAGTAGCTGTTTCTGTACACAATCTCCACATCCTACCCTCCTATTCCTACCACCAGTCTCCTGGAGACTAGCATAAGTAGATGTGCTGTAAAAAACTACGTAAGTGAATGGACATAAGAGAAGGAAGAATCTGTGGAATTTGAGGACTAACTATAGCGCTTGAAGGAGACAGAGGACTCTTAAGATGACCCCAAATTTTTAAGCCTGAGAATGAGCAAAAGAGAAATGGAGTTGGGCCCAGCTGGCATGGCTCAGTGGTTGAGCATTGACCTATGAACCAGGAAGTCACAGTTTGATTTCTGGTCAGGGTACATGCCCAGCTTGCGGGCTTGATCCATAATGGAGGGCTTGCAGGAGGCAGCTGATCAATGATTCTTTCTCATCATTGATGTTTCTAGCTCTTTCTCCCTCACCCTTCCTCTCTAAAATCAATTTAAAAAATTTTTTTTTAAATGGAGTTAGGGACTGCTGGTTTCAAACAGTGTGATTTTTGGACATGTTGAATTTACAGGTGGTGGATATAAATTTTCTTCCTCTTAGTTATTTGGATTTTCCTTCATTTCAGTCTTTATTATATTGTATTGTCCACAATTTGTGATTCCCTGAGGAGACTACTATTCCTGAATCCAAAAGATTATTACACTATTAAACAACACTAAAATATAGTTCTGAGAAATGTGTGTGGCATCCTCCCGCAACCAAGGTACATGCCCTTGACCGGAATCGAACCCGGGACCCCTCAGTCCGCAGGCCGACGCTCTATCCACTCAGCCAAACCGGTCAGGGCCCTGCATTTCAGTCTTTATTATATTGTATTGTCCACAATTTGTGATTCCCTGAGGAGACTACTATTCCTGAATCCAAAAGATTGTTAGACTATTAAACAACACTAAAATATAGTTCTGAGAAATGTGTGTGGCATCCTCATCAGAAAGGACATTTGGAGAGCTTGAATAGAACTGAATCCTGATTGGGATATTTCTTTCTCCTACTCCTTCACATATTCCCCC